CGTATGCCTGGGAATAGATCTAATGGTAAGCGTCTTTCACATGAGGTCACGGAGTCTCAGGCTACATCCACAATAATACGCTTATGTTTTAAAACAGGGACAATCTATGTGCACTTAAGAGTTTTTAGCAGCGTTTCGAAATAATCTCTGTCGATACTAAGACGCCTGAAAAACGCAAATCACATGAACATTCACGTACAACTGGACACACGCGTGCCGGTATGAACAGGAAGCAGATCGTCTACTCTGAGGGTTGTTCTCTTCATCTCCGAGTCACTGAAAACAGTCATCCCAGTATGTGACCCCTGTCCACTGTCACTGAGACATGGGGGGGAAGCAGCAGCAGTGTGTGTTCAGAGATAACCTTCCCTGGTTGGTTGTCAAAGGAGAAACATCTTGCCGGAGAGCGCCCGTGATATTGACCTCCACTCTGTGACGGGATCATTCAAAGGTTGTGGATCTTTTGTGGGAGTTACGCCTTTGCTTCTCGAAACTGCAGTTAAACCCTCTGAGACCTGCGGATTGCCGGATCATTAAGGGGCTGTAGCGAGCTCGCTTCTAAAGCTGGAGAGAAGATATTGGTATAATTTGAAAATAGACAGCCTATGGCATCCATTGGTACCATATCATGCTAGCTTGTCAGATAGGGAGCTTAAAACGCTCCAAAGTTAGGTGGAAATTACTAGAGGGGAAAAACTGGTGTGGCCATTTTCAAAGGGGTCTCTTGACATCTCACCTCAAGATATATGAATGGAAATGAGTTCTTTGGGTGCTTGTCCCCAAGCAGCATTCTGTGGTCCCTAAACAGTCATGGAATTGCATAAATTGGGTATGACTGGAAAGCTGAGACACATTCAATGAGCTTGATTGTACATATGTCAGTCCCAATAGCAGCCATTTCATTATAGTGAGACCGTTCTGTGATAATCACAGCTTCATGAAACTTTCACAACTACAAACTTGCTTAATATCCAATCGTAAAAAATGCAATTCTTGCATAAATCTCTTAATGTCAAAAAGTTTTAGATGCAAAATCACCGCATGGTGTTCCTCAAGGCTGTGGTGTCTAATGTTGTATTTTCGAGGGGGTTTCAGGTGCTTAAAAATTGTTACATTTTGCATCAAATGAAAATATACATACAGTATATACATGACCAGAGACCCCGTGAGAATAAAAGGTTTGTTTTTAAGATTTCACTATATCATTTTGGATTGAACTGGGCCATAAAGGTATGTAATGAATACTGTTAGTAGTCATTGTACATTCAGTCGGTAGGCCACCTGCATTTATAGTCTGAAGGTCCTTTTCCTCCTCTCCATCTTTAAAACAATCTGTTCTACCAGACAAAGGGGGAGTTTGACATTCAACATACTGTGTAGTTCTACATTTCTTTCACTTGTTCTTGCTATTCCTATTTGTAACATCATATCTGTCTTGTCTTCTTCATGATTACTCTTGATCAAATGTGAGATGTTTTTTTCAGACTGAAGAGGACTTTGTATGGGACGTTTTCACTTCCTTCCTCCTCTACACTTTATCTTTCACCCCAGATGTCCACTGGATGTTACCGAGTATCCCCAGTTGCACAAAGGCTCAGTCACATTTCCAATCCTCCATTATTAATCTGTTTTGTTGTTTGCCAACATTTTTTTGTGTTCGACAAGCACTGAATACACGTTTATGATCACTGTGCTCACAGATTCTTAGTTGCTGTACTTGTTTGCAATGTCTGTACTAGAGCACAGCGTCTGTCTTTCATGAAGTGCATATTAGCCGAAGGAAAACCGTAGCATTCGCTCTCCTTCAGAACACTTTGAAGGAGAAGTGACATGTAAACAAGAAGAAATAGTTTTGCTCTTGACCATATCCTGTTATTTTGTCTTTTAACTTCCTTCCTACACTGGAAGTGAAAATGTAATGCATGAAATATCTGACCACTTTAATAGTATAACGTACAGCGTGAAGGTCTGCCAGAGCTCAAAGAAAATAAGAGACTTTCTTCTTCAGCAGTCTGACAAACTGCTATTTGCATAGCATCACTAATCAGATCAGTTCTCCTCCGACACAGCGCTGGGATCAGCTGCTCTGGTTTCCGTTATAATAGTGATGGACATAGTGAGTCATAATGTGTTGGTATTTGTGTTTTGTCTGAGTGAGGCCATTCAAAGGAAGAGGAAACTTATTCGGTTACACAAGTAGACACAGTCCATTTTTACATGATGTGTTTATCATTGTGTAACAAGCTACCTGTTCTAATCTATATTATCAGTAAAATATATATCGTATTACATAGTTGGCTGAATATTCAGTCAGATTGAAAAACTGAAAACTGGTTTGACTATTGTTTGTGAAGAATGCAAATAATGTTAATATTTTAATAACCAGCATGGTCATACTGATATGTAGAAAAAATGTCACCATACAACCAACTACTGCAGCCCACAGCAAGCTAGTAAAGCTAGTCGTGAGCTACTGAACCCAGAACATTACTGTGCCAAAGATTGTCTTTCCAATCCAACACCTGTGGTGTTCGATTGTCTTTCCAATCCAACACCTGTGGTGTTCTCTGAGCATGTGACCTAAACAATGTGGATGTTTGTTCCCGACATTGAGAAACGTATAATAAGACTGTTACAGGTGTGACTTGTATTTGCTATAGCCATAACCGGACATTAAAAGACAAAACTGGGAACAAACAAACAAAAACATGGGCAGGCCACATACTGTAAGGTCAATAGAGGAGAAAAAATGCAAATGACAAATGAAATGCATAATGTAATGTCATGTCAACTGTCAATAAATATAAGCATTTTTTGTACATTGAAATTAATTCCATGTTTTATAGATGCAAGCTGCTCTGGTGCTGGAAACAGATTAGGGGTTTATTGTCTCTTACCATCAAGTCTTAAAAACCATAAACAATGAATTCACTTCATCATAGAATAATAACATATTGCTTTTTTAATTTCTTGAATACTTTTTGTACTCTATATTTTATTATGTAAAAAAGACCTTTCAATGTTTCATTAGACATTTAATATGATCCTATTCTTCAATGAGAACTCTCTACTGAATCTGAAGAAGTTCTGTTATTTCGGGTTGTTTCATCTTTTTTTTGTATTTCTCACTGATTTGTAGATGAAGCTGTAGCATGCGATGTTGCTTTGAATGCAGGAGGAAAAACAGAAAGAAACGTATAGTGTCGTAATTACTAAGTAATTGTAACTGCTTCTGGACAGTAAAAATGGCACACAGAATCCAGTACTTGTCCCTGCTGCTTTCCAAGCGGTAGCCAAGATCACGGTGACCTATTGCTGATTGTGGCAGTAAGGTGCTCTCTCTGCTGAGAGGGATCAGAGGGGAAAGCATCTTCATCCATTCTTTCACTCCTTTTAAACAACTGAGGCAGGGTTGGCACGGTAGGTATACGTGTGTTGTTGTTTTACATCGACTTATGTACAGATTGTTTTTAATGTGACTGTTGTTTAAAAGAAGGACATGTAGAAATGTTTAACGTGAGGATGCAGTGTGAACAAAAGTCGTGAACACCAATCTTCTTTTAATCTTGCAATCAACAATTTGTCTCTATCGCGCCACACCCTCTTTGTTGATCCACCGAGTGTTGCTAATTACTGAAGGGCACCTTAGAGTCCGAAGCCTCTGCTTACTCTTTGGTGTCGGCAGTGGTGCGCAGCAAAGCCACTAACCTTAGATACGGGCTGATATCACTGCATGATCATAATCAATTCAGCCAAAAATAAAACACAGTCTTCTTCAAAGCAGCTAAGCTTAAATGTGAACACCATAGCAAAGAGTGCAATAAAACTCTTGAAAAAAAAATGAGGGCAGAATTATGCACTAATCCTTGTTGAAAAAGAAGAACAGAACGGGGGCTGCTCTTGTTCCTCTTCAATCAAAATATTGGTAGTTGGTGTGTCAAGTGCAGCCATTATTCTGTGTTATTACTCAGACTTTAAAAAGTTGTTGAATATTTGTATGCAGTCTTATGTTTGGTCCAATAGGGGAGGACATTTAAAACAGGGCAATCAGCATAGAGCATGTAAATTGCCGTTCATATCGGAGTAGTTTAGGAGTGACATACTGGTGCACAGGTTCCTTCTGGGTTAGTTGAGATGGAAGACTGTTTGGATTAACTAAGTAGGCCATGAGGGAAACAATGGGACTGTGGCTGTGACACTCCCGTTTTTCTATTTCCTATAATCACTTGGCAGAGAATGATAGCACCCTACATGGATTGCTTTAATTTACTTCCTATCCATCTTCCATTCTTTCTTTCTTTTTTTTCGTTGGAGAGGAACATCCCCAGCCCTTGAATGAGTGAAAACGTTTTGAATCCCTGACGTTCGTTCGAAATATCCCATTCAAATCTCCATAAATGAATACTAGCGGGAATAAATTAGCTGCTCGCTAATTAGCCGTTAAGAGCCATCTTTGAATGTGACATCTTAAGGAAGGGAAGGGGTTTCACAATGAGCGGCAGTGGAGGGGGGGGTCTCAGGCCCGGGGACATGGCACAGTCTTTAGGGTCTTCTCTGCTGTATTCACACACACACACACACACACACACACACACACACACACACACACACTATAATAAGTGTGGACATCAGTAACTAGCTTTGTGCCTCTGATAATACTAGTTCTGCACAGTTCACACTCAGATAAAGTTCTCCCCTTAGTGTAAGAGGTGGAGTCGGAGCTGTTTCCTCTCAGACCTGACTGAGAGCACCGGGGGACCGGACTAATTTTACAGCCTTCAGAAGGAAATTGGATGGGCGTGGTAGGAAAGAAATGTTCAATTTTAGTCACACTGGACCAGAACACAAAGACTAATTACACTGCGTACATACAGTAATACACCACATAGACAATTGACGCACCACACTTAGATAAACGCATACTATATCACTGCCACGACGCTGCAACATGCACAAAATATAACCACATAGACAAAAATACCCACAGTCTGTCTACTTACATTGTACGATCAGCTCCACCATGGCCTCCCGGGGCTTCACGTTGAACCCATTAAACTGGCTGGTCTGGCAGCGGTACGAGCCCGTCATCTCCCTGGACACATTAACAATACGCAGCACACCATCGTAGCTCTCCATCTGCATGCTGCCGTCCGGCATGGGCACCTCCTTATCGGCCCGCGACCACAAGATGATGGGCTTGGGCTTTCCTGAAACAAGGCACTCCAGCTCCACTGTGTCACCCTCGCGGGCCACCAGGGGGGACTTGCCCCGAGGGACTGTCAGGTTGGGGGGAACTAAGAAAGAGAAAAACAGAGGAGGGACTGATATGGGGCTCTAGAAAGTCAGCAGGCGGGGTAAGAGGAAATGGCGACTGGGGGGGGAAGAGTGGCGTGGAAGGTATGAGGGAGGGGGGAAGCGAATGAGCATCCAGGTTGCAATGGCAATGAAGCTGAGTCTCAGCCACATACACAGCTTGAATGGAAGGACCATGCGGATATTAGCAGCAGCAATGGCTAACGGCTGGGACTGGACGATCTGAGCATGTACCTTCAGTAGAACCATCATGGAGGGCAGCAGTGAGGAAGTTAAATGCAATCAAGCAATGGCAAACAATGGACAATACAATGACGAGCTGACAAGCAAAGGCACGTTGTGACCCCGACGGTCAAAGAAGAAGATCAACAACAAGGAGGCCACAGGAACTACGCTCAGGTTTGAAACGAGGATCTTAAAGTGTGAGCATCCCCGTATGCTTTTCCACTGCATGTGAAGAACTGTGAACAAATTAGTCCCATAATTGACACACACAGAATAACAGCAGAGCTGAGTCATTGGACTTTATCCATAAGACACCAAGAGGGGCTTCATGAGAAAGCTAATTAACATGTTATAGGTCTTTGGACACCCCAGGTAAATTGGGTGAAACTTCCCCAGCAATTACTGACAATAAGGCAATACATTTTTGTATTAAAGTGTGAAAATCCAAATGAGGCATCATTTTATTAAATATTAGCTAATTAGTGTACATTTCCAGAACAGAAATGTGAACATTGGAGAAAGCCGGGTTCAAAATTCTTGTCTCCATTTTTGAGTCAAAGGTTTTTACTTTTTACTACTTCCTAAATCAGAAAATACTGTCAACAGCCATAAAAAATACATCTTCACCATGTTTTTATGGATAAAATGTTCTATAAATCAGGCTATGAATGATATATGAACAAACTCCAAAGCTTGCACAAAAATGCTACTGAAGAGTAGATTTATAGTATGAGATGAGCTCAAAATCTTCAAATTGAACAGTGCATTTTTTCCCAGGGTGCCTTGACCTAATCCGTAATCTTGGTCCAACTCAGTGACGTCCGCAATGTCTTGTGCGGACTACGGATTAAACCAAAGACATATAACATGTTAATCATCCTTTTCTACCTTTGAACAGGGCCGGTCTAGCTGTGTCTCCTGTTTTACTTCCATGATTAACTCGCTATCTTCACTTGTCGCCACTTCATCGCTCGTGCTCTCAGCTCGTTCGCACACTCTCTCCTTTTATCTTGCTCTTTGCTGGAAACCTGGCAACCTAACTTTGTCTTTAACATCAATAAATCCTACAAGAAACGACCCTCGCCCTAGTATTGATCCATAGCACTTGCTCGTGTGTGAATGAAGCTGTAGACTGGAGTTTTATGTCCGACCAATCAGCGACGTTCAGGACTGCAAACTCTAACCCGATAGTTCCTGGACCGGTCTCACAGCAGGCACTGTTTTACCACCAGAAACTATAGCAGAGGAACTAAATTAAGTCCACGGTTCCTCCGGTCAAAATGGAAATAAGCTTTCGCAAAAATAGTTCCCGTGCCGCCTGTTTGCAGTGAAAACGGGCTATAAATCACTCAATAAGCCGCTAACGTAATCCACCTAATAATCTTACTATAATCACATTCCATCTACTCTACATCTGCCTAAGAAACGCATTACCCTTCGAAAGATACCATCATCATCAACGTCAGCATTGTCTCCACAACCATCGGCATTACAATATTATCATCATCCTTGTCACATTTTCATTATAATGTTCATCATCACATCAAATTCTCATCACAATACTATTTTCAGGATGGATTCCACCACAGCCATTACAACATGCATAATACTTATCACCATCACTCGCCGCAGCGTTTTTACTTTTCTGCCCGCCTCCTCGTGCAGCTCCTCGATCTCAGCACAGCGTCGTATACTCCAAAGCATTTACAACAGAACACTCCCATCGGTGATGTGGCATTATTTGATGGCCATGTAAAAAAATATGACCCAATAAATATCTTGCCTTTGTTTAACGGACACTAAGAGCCTTGGCTGGAAGTGATCAATGAATAATAAAAGAAGTGCAAAGTGCTGAATTGCTGGACACATTTGCAGCTTTCCTTGAGTGTGTGTTTGTGTGTGTGTGTCTGTGTGTTCTAAGTTTGGAAAGTAGGAAAACTACCAGGTTGGATCATGCAGTCTGGTTCCTCATCAAGCATGCTGGCCAAGTAAATTTGTATAATTAGCAAACCTGGCAAATTACACGGGCTCCTGGAGTGCTGTGCTGTGTGTGTGTGTGTGTGTGTTCATGTACTTTGTGCGAGTCCAAACCAGACTCCAAGACTATTTTGTAGCGCTGCTCCCAAAAATAGTTTACAGCCATCGACTCGAGGAGTGAAAATTTTCTCAGCAATGATGAAACCGTGTCATGCTTCCCTGATGATTTTCGAATCACTGTCATTCTGCCCAAACAATGCTGCAGCTGGAATGAAGTCTAGTCACAATGAAGTTTCATAGTGATGAAAGCGCTAGTAATCGCCAGAAAATGAAGCAGAGTCCAGCTTTATTTCCTTTGACTCCATTTCTGTCTGGGTGAGAGGTAACAGACTCACTGCCATCTCAAGTCTGCAACTGTCGGTTATCTGTTTTGTTAATGGTACATTGTGTGAATTGTAGATGAATCAAACCGGTAGAAACAACACAAAGCTCAACATGCAGCCCTGATTCTAAATGTCATCCTCACGTAAAAATATGATGCCAACTGTAAATTTGGCTCGTTAATGACCCCAGGTTTTGCACAAAGAATGTGAAAGTCCAAAATTGGAAAAGTTGTTGAATTATTGTTTTTTTTATTTAAAACCTGGAATAACTGGTTGGCTACTTGGAGGCGAGTGAAAACAAGCTGTAAACACAACAACTTGTAAGTTAATATGGCAAAGGTGTTAACAAACAATGGCCTATTTCCACATCCAGCAGAGAAAGAACATTTGGATCTGTGTGTTTCTGGCCATCTGACGAATGTCAGTCCAAGATTCATTCCGCTTTCACTGCTAATCACGAACTTTGTCAGTCTGCAAATTCTGGGCAGAGGGGTTTATCAAAGCCTTTTCTCTGAAACAGCTGCCTGCTGCTAACAATGGAAAGAACGATGAGAGTGTACCATAACAGTGAAACCAAAACAATGAGCTGAAACACGCTAAAACACATTTGAGTACTTTGATTGATTGTTAATATGAACATATTGATAATAGCAGCTCTGAACCAATTCTACTGTATACAGGAAATACTGCACTGATTAATCACTGTATTGTGACAGATGAATATGCCTTTTCAGCCATTGCAACCCATCAGCTTGTTCAACATTTATGTATAACTTTTCAGGGAAGTAATACTTAAACATTTTGGTGACATTAGCATGGGATAATGAACACTGGTCATTCATAGTCTTGACAAATCTGTTTGGCACCAAACGAGCCGCAAAAATGATCTCCGCAGAGACAATGACAGCAGACACTCATTTCACTCACATTTGCTGATTGGTATTCACACAATGTCTCGATCGAGGCAGCCAGGTGTCAAGAGCTGACATATTTCTTTCCACAGCACATTTTCTCCTCTTTCCCGAATGTTTCCTTGAAACCAAACAGTAGAATGGTGAACCGACAAGCGGCGAAATAGGAAGGGAGCAGCAAGCAACCATTAGCGAGTGCAGGAGAGCTGTATTCACGGAGTTGCCATCATTACACCTGGCCTCTCCACAGCCCAGATTAGGCAGGCAATTACAGTTTTCTGCCTATTGGGTTTGGCAGCACAAATACTGGCCATCAGCTGCCATTGTCTCTCCCCGCGCCATCGTGGAAACGCAAACAGGCATACATGCACATGCTGATCTCTGTCTCTCTTGCTCACTCTGTACCTCATTCTTCCTCCTGCTCTCTTGTTCCAAATGAACACCCTGCCTCTGTGTGTGAGACTGACCACTGAGATGCTCAGTGTGGCAGAGAGCCCGTTACTGGTCTTCACTGCGCTGTCATTGTGCCAAAGCCAACCAAATGCCAGTGATGCCTGCAGGGCATGCCCGCTGTGTGCGTATGCTTCTATAGTGTGCGCTTATGTGGTTTTTAGTCTCTGCTTGTGCATGTGCGTAGCCGAGTGTTGCTCCTCTCGCCCACGCGTGACCCCATGCTGTGATCCTTCCTCGGTCCCTCAATGCGATGCTTCTCGTTGTTGTTGTCGGATAACATGTCTCAGTGTGTGTGCTTGTGTACTTTGTGGGGCTAAATTGGGACTGGACCTCCTTGTTTGGCCTCAGTAGTGCTGCAACATCTCTAGGGCCCCAGCTGGAATGATCCTCTAAGTGTAGAGCCTGATTGCTACAGCCTCTCAGCAGGATCCAGCAGAGCAGACGCAAGCCGACTGCAAAAACGGGAGAATATCTGGCACTTTGCATTTTCTTACAGCGGCGGGAGGCAGAGTGGTGCATACGGATGTCTTCGAGAATAAACAACATTCCTGTTGCCCCGTTTTTTTTCCGGGTGAAGTGCGGTGATATAACTCTCCATCACCATGGCAACACAGCTCTCGCTACAACTGCAAGTCCGGCAGAGTGTGTGTATGTACATGTGAGAGTGTGTCTTTGGACAGCTTGGGGCCAATGAGTTGGTCACAATGTGACAGGACTCTCTGCCCCTCTGAGTCCTGGACCTCTGGGGACCGAGAGAGGAGTCCCAAAGGACCACCGTGCACATGTTTGTGAATCCGTGTGTGTGGCGGAGCTGCATCGAGTCACTGAAGTGTAATAAATACCCACAGATGTGTTGAAATTGGCTAAGTGGATTGATAGACTGCAGTGACACACAGCTGACCGAACACATGACTGTGTGTATGTGTGTGTGTGTGTGTGTTTTTGGGCTCTATGCCGTCCCGCTGATATCTTACAACTTACCTTGCAATCAATCACACAACCCCACATTAATTCATGTGGAGATTGTAGAGCAGTAGGCTTTCAAAACCAATGCACCAT